AATTTTGAGCTTAATCCGTTGGTGTAAAAGTCATGAAAATCAGCAGGCGTTCCTCGCTCTCATTTGCATGACGGGTTCAGGTTTTTTCGTGTTTTCGGAAAGTTTTCCAAGTAAGACACGTCATTTATAAGTTTTCTGGCAAAAGGGTTATTGGGTTTTGTTACTGGGTTGGTTATTGGGAAACCAAAAATGAAGCTATAATAATTAATTTTACTTTTTATCCTTACCTTAGTTATTTAGGAACCAAAAATGACGCCGTAATAACCAAGGTTCTGTTTTATCCTTACCTTGGTTATTGGGGGAACCAAAAGTTTAAATTGTCATAGAAGCAAAATAGGTCAATTTGAGCAAAAACCATGAACTATAGTAGGTTTTGATAGATTTTGGTCCATTTACACACCTTTTGAAAAGATATGCATTATTTATGCAGCATATAGCCAAAAAAGACGATATACACCAGTATGACGATATAGCCCAGTAAGACGGGTTTTTTAATATATTTTTCTTCTTTTTAATTTAGTTTTTTAATTTTATATTTACTGTCCCGCGAGTCTTCGAGGGGCGAGGTAAATATTCACCATAATCACTAAGGTTAATAATTGCTAATTAGCTTCCAATGTCAAGTCCCCACCGGGCCCTCTCCCCACCTATTATGGAAGTGGGGAAGTCGATGAAAATAAGGGTATCGTGCATTTTGGTCTGGAGAAACTTGTTAAACTGTTATTAAAAGTGCAAAATAAACCATGTTTACTTATAAAATGCGTGAGCGCCATATACCAATACTGTAACGCGACTGTCACATGATTCATGTTACAACTGTAACGTAAGCTCACGTGTTTATAATATCCGTAAACAACACCAGAATCTACTGGAGAATAATAACAGTTCTTGCTGTCGGAGTAGATATGAGGTTCCTATTCATATACCTTGTTCTCATAGCTGATATCTTCTGTTTCCTTGTTCAATCGAAACCAGCTGGGATCGTAAAAACCAAGCAAAGTGATAGCATCAACAATCGCCCTATCATAGGTAAATTATATACTGCAGATATACGAGAGTACAAACACTAAAAGTGTGCAACACTTTTCGTATTTATGTTACACACTTATAGTGTTTGTACTCTAGTGTCGTTCATTAAATATATTTTGCCAATTACTAGTATTTTTGTATTTCAGTATTAAAGACTAAAGCCGTTTCCGATAAGATACTTTTGAATTTTATGCTGCTCTCTTGACCAGCAAAAAAGACACACAAAAAACCTATATGAAATACATTTGATATAGCTTTTAATATTAAAATTAATGTAAAAAGGAAACCCAAAAAAATGCCAATTTTGAATATTTTATAGAACGTGCTATTTAAGCAACAGAAAAAATTATCTTGGAGAATACTATTGCCTTGGTATACGGTACCATCCATCCATAATCTGCATATGAAGATAAAGAAAAGGAAAAAGAATTTAAGATAAAATTAAAATAACGGGTCCACATTTTTCCATATTTTTATAATTTGTTTCCTAGGGGTCCTTGCTCAAGAGACTGTAGGTATTTTAAAGAAATTTGGCAAATCCTATATCCCTGCCTCATACATCAAGTACCTGGAATCAGCTGGTGCAAGAGTAGTCCCTATAAGGTATTGTAAGCTATCTCTTCTCAGGGCCATAGCCGTGCCCCCCCCCCCCCCCCCCCGTCCCCCCCAAAAAAAAAAAAAAAAAAAAAAATAAAGGATCTAAACATCATTTGACTCCTATTNATAAGGTATTGTAAGCTATCTCTTCTCAGGGCCATGGCAATGCCCGCCCCCCCCCCCCCCAGTTTTTCCCAGAAAAGAAAACAATCAAACAAATAAAGGATCTAAACATCATTTGACTCCTATTGTTTGCTACTGACATCACTAAACGTTGCAAGCCACAAAATATTGTGTTATATATGTGTTATAGTGTTTTTTTGCTCAGATCGTGGGAATGCTCATTCCTGATAGGCTAGATGTGACTTAAAACCACCTGATCACATGTTGTGAAGTGATGTTGTGCCCCTCCAAGTTTTTGAAGGCTTGTTACTTCTTGATGCAAAAGTGTTGAAGAGAGAGAAAATAGGTGTATGTAGATGCTATGGGAGGAAAGGGTGCATCAGAAATTCAAAAGCCTTATTTTTTATTATTTTGACTCTTATGTGTAAAGAAATGTTAGAAACCTAAACATTTCAATGCAAAATCCCAAGCATCACCACTGACTGCTTAAACCCTCTTCAAAATTATTATTTGGGGGTCCTAAAGWGCATGGGAAACATTTCAGTTTCTTCCATTTCTCACCCATTTCATATCTGTTATTATCAGCAAACAATTGATAATATCTATAGCTATTAGAGATAATTTTTATAATCTTATATATAATTGATAATATTTTCATCCATCATATTTATAGTCATATTATTTTATGGTTGGGTTAACTTAAATTCTATATTGCTGGTTTTCACTTGAAGTTTTCAATTTAAATCTTTCTGGTCAACGTTGACAGCACATGGTTCTGCTCCAAATGGTGGTCAAACACTGACCAAGTGAGATTCAAAGACTTTTATCAGCTCATTGAAACCCAGCAATACCCCAGATCAATTGATGTCTAAGGGGGATGGCGTCTAATCCCTTGGAGCAGGGGGAAGAGAGGATGTTTGGTACATTATGGATATCATTGTTATTAATTTCATTATTCCACAGAAATAATCTCACAGAAACAGAACTGAAAAACCTGTTTTCTTCTCTAAATGGGTGAGTGCATATTGCCAATGGTCTAAAAATCAGGGGAGAAAACAATTGGGATGGAATTCACACAAGTGTGTTATTTCAAAGAACTGAAATTGGTCTTTTGAAACACACGCTCTTTAAGATGTTATGGACTGTCTCTTCATGGATGTTCTGGTAAAAGGGTGATATCAATTAATTAGTTATCTTAGTTTGATAAATTTATCTAACTATTCAACAGTGTGACTAAATGCATTCTAATAATATCTCTGGCCCCGGTTGTATGAAGGGTGGATAGTGCTATTCAATGGATAAATCCAGTGTGGATAAATCTATTGGATAACAGCATTGACTTACTAATCCACTGGATAGGGGTTTATCTGTTGGATTACGCTGTCCACCCTTCAAGCAACCAGGCCCTGTAATATATCTACAACTTTAAACATGCAGGGTTCTTTTTCCTGGAGGTGATGTGGATTTGTGGACTTCAGGATATGCCAAGACAGCTACCATCATGTTTGACTTAGCAGTCAAGGTTTGTAGATGTTGCTAGCTCTAGAGAAAGGTGTCAAATAGTACCATGTGTGGGTGGGGTAGGATTAGTGTAAGACATGTACACCAAAGGAAACCCACCCTATAAAGAAAGTACAGGTCATTGTCAGAGCATGGTCTAAACCAAGTGATGTACGTGCCACAGCTATAATCCTTTGCAGCTGCAGGTTATACTCACATTCAATAGTGTGATTTATACAAGGCTATCCAGCCTTGGTAGTTTCGGCCCCCCCCCCCCCCCCGTGACCCTCTCCCTGGGGGGAGGCTTGAAAACAAATGTCAACCTCACAGCTGGAGCCAAGCCTGAAGCATTATAGTCTAATGAGATTGTCCCTTACCTCTCTGCAGTTCCAGCTTGAGCATATCCTACACTAATACCCTTCCCTTTCCTTAAAAAACTGATACGTATGTCAGTGTTTTCCGACACTGCACAATCCAAAATATAATTAAATATTGGACAAGGATGGCCAATTTTGGAGTCTGCCAGCTAGACAAGTGAATATTGATACTAATGATATGCATGGGTTACTATGACAGGCAAAGGATGCAGAAGACATTTTTCCATTATGGGGTACCTGTCTTGGCTTTCAAATGCTGCATGTCTTAGCTGCTAAAGGGAAGAACGTTATAACTCGGTGTCATGCACAAAATGTCAGTCTGCCCCTTAACTTCACCAAAGGTATGTACTCACTTGTTTGTTGATTTGTGCCACTTGCAGAAATAAATAGAACTTGAAAAAACTAAAAAACTCTTTCCCTCATTAGTAACCCCAGCATGTYGTACTATCATGGGAATGTTTGGGAGACTTACAGTCTAAAGACTAGGGTGTAACTTATTTGCTTTTCATGGTTAGTCTTCTGAAAGAAGAGACAGCCATATCATAATGACATCAAGTGTGTAAATCCATCTGCAAGTAACTAGTCCAAATGTTTGTAACTTTTAGATTACAAGAGTAGCAAGATATTCAGTCAAGCACCCCAGGACATAACAACATACCTCGGTAAACTTCCCATCACACTGAACATGCATCAGAATTGTGTATCAACAGAGGTAAGGTTTGTTTGCGGGGTGACAACAGCCAGCAAGGCTCAAGAACACTTTCTTTGCATTGCAAATCACTAAACCTTGAATTGTGACATTGCAATAGTGAAGGAAAACGAAGTTAATTTTATTTGCGCTTTACCAGCCAGCCTTTGTCTCAAGACAAAGTTTTAAGAGTCTTGAAAGAAATAATTCAAATTATTGAGCATGATATATAGGTAGGGTTTGCCAGATACCAAGTGCTTGCAGACACTGACCATCCTTTTTACCCTGCAGACATACRAGAAAGAACCCTTGTTGCAGAAATTCTTTAAAGTCTTGTCAACCAACGAGGATAAGAATGGAAAAGTCCGTTTTGCATCAACAGTAGAAGGTTGGTGAAACCCCACATACCTCTTTCCTCCCTTTCCCTTCTCTTCTCTTCCCATCCCTTCTCTTTCATCCCCTCCCAGGCCCTCCAGGCCCTCCGAGGGAGAGCAAATCTGTTGACTTACATCACTGGGAAAAATGCTATTTACATGTGTGTTGGCAATTTTGATGCCAGATTACTTATGTCTTCCACCCCTCAAGGCTTCCTGACAATCCTATTTTATGTGACGTCATCATGGTGGCAATACTGGATGAATTTACCTAAGAATTGGTCGGTGTCTTTTAGATGCCATATGACATGTTGATCATGTCTTTTTTCTATTAATTTGTTTCTCGTGGAAATCATTGTACCTTAGACATTTTTTGTAAAGTGCTTTTTTCTTCTAACAGTCTCACTTTTTTACAGCCTTTAATTATCCATTCTTCGCAACTCAGTGGCACCCGGAAAAGAACCAGTTTGAGTGGCCAACAGAGGAGAATATCAACCACTCCAAGGAAGCCATAATATCTACCCAGTACATGGCCAATTTCTTTGTAAATCAAGGTATGTTGGTGACCATTGTTCCTTTTTTTTAAAGTAAGAGACTAATCTTTACTTTAATGGGATGATAACCCCATCCCCTATGATGTGCCTACTGTATACCAAGGCACACAACCCCATCCCCTATGATGTGTTACTGTATACCAAGGCACACAACCCCATCCC